AAATTAACAATGCTTCACAGCATGACACCTCTCCTATGAGGACAGGCTGAGAGAATTGGGGTTATTCAGCCTGGAGATGAGAAGGCTCTGGGGGAATTTATTGGGGCCTTTCAGTACTGAAAGGGGGCTTTTAAGGAAGATGGGAACAAATTTTTAGCAGGGCCTATTAAAGAATCATAGAATCATATGGGGTTGGAAGGGACCTCTGAAGATCATCTAGTCCAACGCCCCCGCTGGAGCAGGTCTACCTAGAGCACATTGCACAGGAACTTGTCCAGGTGGGTTTTGAATGTCTCCAGAGAAGGAGATTCTACCACCTCTCTGGGCAGCTTCTTCCAGTGCTCCACCACTCTCACAGTAAAGAAGTTCCTCCTCATGTTTAGGTGAACTTCTGATGTTCAAGTTTGTGCCCATTTCTTCTGGTCCTGTCACTGGGCACCACTGAGAAAAGACCAGCCCCGTCCTCCTGACACCCTCCCTTTAAGTATTTCACAGAATCACAGAATCTTCTAGGTTGGAAGGGACCTTAAAGATCATCTTGTCCAACCATCAACCTAACTGACAAAAATAGACACCCACAAAACAAACAAGGAACATCATCACTAAACCATACCTCCCAGCACTACATCAACCCGTCTTTTGAACACCTCCAGGGATGGTGCCTCAACCACCTCCCTGGGCAGCCCATTCCAGTGTCTGATAACCCTTTCAGTGAAGAAATTTTTCCTAATATCCAGCCTGAACCTCCCCTGGCGCAACTTGAGGCCATTTCCTCTTGTCCTGTCGACTGTGACTTGAGAAAAGAGACCGACCCCCACCTTTCTACACCCTCCTTTCAGGTAGTTGTAGAGAGCAATAAGGTCTCCCCTCAGCCTCCTCTTCTCCAGGCTGAATAACCCCAGTTCCCTCAGCCTCTCCTCATAAGACTTATTCTCCAGACCCCTCACCATCTTTGTCGCCCTTCTCTGGACCCGCTCCAGCACCTCAATGTCTTTTTTATGGTAGGGGACCCAAAACTGGACACAGTACTCAAGGTGAGGCCTCACCAGTGCCGAGTACAGGGGGACAATCACCTCTCGGGCCCTACTCGCCACGCTGTTCCTGATACAGGCCAGGATGCTGTTGGCCTTCTTGGCCACCTGGGCACACTGCTGGCTCATGTTCAGCCGACAGTCGACCAACACCCCCAGGTCCTTTTCTGCCAGGCAGCTCTCCAGCCACTCTGCCCCCAGCCTGTAGCGCTGCCTGCGGTTGTTGTGACCCAAGTGCAGGACTTGGCACTTGGCCTTGTTGAACCTCATCCCATTGGTCTCGGCCCATCGATCCAGCCTGTCGAGATCTCTCTGCAGAGCCTCTCTACCCTCCAGCAGATCAACACTGCCACCCAGCTTGGTGTCGTCTGCGAACTTACTGAGGGTGCACTCGATCCCCTCATCCAGATCATTCATAAAGATGTTAAAGAGAATTGGCCCCAGTACTGAGCCCTGTGGGACACCACTCGTGACTGGACGCCAGCTGGATTTAACTCCATTCACCACCACTCTCTGGGTCCGTCCCTCCAGCCAGTTTTTAACCCAGCAGAGGGTATTCCCATCCAAGCCATGGGCAGCCAGTTTCTCCAGGAGGATACTGTGGGAGACTGTATCTAATTAATGTACACATTAATTAGACCTCCCCTCAGCCTTGTCTTCTCAAGACTGAAAAGACCCAAGTCCCTGAGCCTCTCCTTGTAGGAGAGATGCTCCAGGTCCTTAATCATCTTTGTGGCCCTTTGCTGTACCTTCTCCAGCAGTTGCCTGTCCTTCTTGAACTGGGGAGCCCAGAACTGGACACAGTACTCCAGATGGGGCCTCACCAGGGCAGAGTAGAGGGGCAGGATGACCTCCCTCAACCTGCGGGACACACTCTTCTTGAGGCACCCCAGGATGCCATTGGCCTTCTTGGCCACAAGGGCACATTGCTGGCTCATGATCATCCTGTTGTCCACAAGAACTCCCAGGTCTTTTTCCTCAGAGCTGCTCTCCAGCAGGTCAGTCCCCAACCTGTACTGGTGCAGGGGGTTATTTCTCCCCAGGTGCAGCACCCTACATTTGCCCTTGTTAAATTTCATTAGATTTCTCTCGACCCAACTCTCCAGCCTGTCCAGGTCTCGCTATATGGCTGCACAGCCTTCTGGGGTGTCAGCAACCCCTCCTACTTTTGTGTCATCAGCAAACTTGCTGAGGGTACATTCCATCTCTTTGTCCAGGTCATTGATGAATATATTGAAGAGGTCTGGACCAGGTACTGACCCCAGGGGAACACCACTTGTTACAGACTTCCAGCTGAATTCTGTGCCCCTAATCACAAGCAATGTGGAGAGAAAATCCGTTACATTAATGCAATGAGCTTATCAGTTTTTGTGCCATTTAAAAAAAAAGTCTAAAGCAGGAAGAACAGTATTTTGATTGAGAGGAAAAAAAATATTATACAAAAAGTGACAAAAATAATTAGGATGGCTTAATTTACCACAGGAAAAAAGACAAGGTTAAAACTCAAATATGAAAGGACATAGCAAAATGTATGAAATATTGAATGAGATAAAAAGACTAAATTTAGGACAATTCTTTATATCCTAATGAAAGATCAAATAAGGTATTCAGGGAAGTCAGAGGTGGAAATTTCAAAAGTAATGAGGTGTTTTGGCATTCATCATAGTTTCACTGTGAAATTCACTGCATAATAGTATAACTGCTTGTGTGTGAAGGTGAAAGAAGGTTCATGTGTTTATCTAGGCACTGATTATTTATGCATGTATGTGTATAGAAATATTTACACACCAAAACTTTCTTTGAATACAATTAAATTTTTATTCCAACAAGAATTTGATTTTCTATTTAACTTTGCACTATGTGAAGAGTATATACAAAAAAAGATAGAGTACGGTGTTGTTTTAAGAAATTATAACAAATACTTTTTTAACAATCTAAATCTGTTTGTTCAAGATTTAAGAATATTTATAGCTGTCAGATATTAAGGGAAAAAAACAACAAAACCCAACCAAACACACACACCCCCCTACAACTACAGCATATTATCACCTGATTTTCTATGCAAACACTGACACATCTTCCCACATGTCTGGTACTGCAGGCCTTCTGAAATAAGATATTGAGCTATAAGAATCATGGATTCAATATAATATCCACTTTAATATTCTGGAAAAATTATAGCTGAAACATGTGAATGAATAAAAAACATTTATAATCAAGAGTCTTCATACCAGAAGAAAGTGGAGAATGACTTCACAGACAGCTCTGCAGAAAAAGATGAGGCTCAGACTCTGTAAGAAGGAAAATGTCAGTAAGGGTAGTAGGGGTTATAATTTCTTTTTTTAAGTAGTAAGAAAAAAACACAAACAAAAAAATAAAACACCAAAGGTGCAGGAATATTCTATGAACACTGAGATAAGACTTGTTCAAACTCATTGACAAATATAGTTTTTTATATCAAATTAAACTTTGAATGAATGATTTTTCTGAAATAGAACAAAACAGTTCCACACAGAATGTGGAAACTTCACATTGTTTGAAATAAAAGATTGACTTTCCTGCAAGAGAAAATAAACCCATTCTCTGAAATTTTTATAATCTATTGTTTTCGCACTTTTTGATGAGTTCAATTCATGTGAAATTGAGTGGAAAAAAAAAACCAAAAAACACTGACTTAGGAGTAGGATTGGATGCTCATTTGGTCTCATGGATTCATACAATGGAATTACTGAGCTCGCTGTATTGTAACAAATAGTACTTAGCTATAACTTATCTTCCAGAGCCTTCTAAGCTTAACTAAAGATGCTATTAGATAGAGAATTCATCAGTTCCTTTGAATGAGTGATTAAACCCCCTCATAGTTAAAAGTTTATTTCTAATTTAACTTTTTCCTACTTCAACTTCACTAGATAAAAGAATCTTTATATATCCAACATTACTTTCCTGTGAAGGTACCCATTCTCTTGCTATTTCTTTTTTCAATAAGGTAAATTCATGAAGCAGCTTAAGTTTCTAACTGTATGTTACTTGTTTGAGCCTTTAAATGTGTTTTTTTGAATGTGTTGGGTTTTTTTTTTTTCCTATGCCAGTCTCACTGGTGATAAATTGTATACTTTTTTCTACATAATTGACAAAAATGATGAATCACAGAATCACAGGAAGGGACCTCTGGAGATCATCTAGTCCAACCCCCCTGCCAAAGCAGGTCCACCTAGAACAGGCTGCACAGGAACTTGTCCAGGCGGGTTTTGAATGTCTCCAGAGAAGAAGACTCCACCTCCTCCCTGGGCAGCCTGTTCCAGTGCTCTGCCACCCTCAAAGTGAAGTTCCTCCTCATGTTTAGGTGGAACTTCTTATGTTCAAGTTTGTGCCCATTTCCTCTTGTCTTATCCCTGGGCACCACTGAAAAAAGACTGGCTCCATCCTCTTGACACCCCTCCTTTAAGAATTTATAAGCATTGATCAGCCTACTCTCCTCCAGAGTAAAGCGACCCAAGTCCCTCAGCCTCTCATCAGACTTACTCCCCTCCCTGTTGGAAGCCTGGTAAAAGCAATTCCATTCTGTGAAATCCCACTTAGGCTGACAATAATTTGAGATCTATCAGGTACCTAGTCCATAATTTACTTATCACGTGCTTTACTGATTTTCATGGTCAGAATTCTATGAGATACTAAATTAAACAATATATAGAAATCTAAGACTATCACATCACTGACAGGTTATTCTATGAAGCAAACAATCTTCTCAAGGAATGAAATTAGATTTGTTTGGCAATAGCTATTTTTCATAAAGCCATGTGAAGCAGCGTTAATTTTATTCCTGTTTGTTAATCCTTAATTAATCAAATCTGAAATTAATTGGTGTTTCCATTTTCACTTTGAATATGCCAGTTCTTTTTTATTGTTATTGGTTTTTTTACTATTGATAAAGCATACTTTTATCTTCTCTCACTCTCTTCTCCATTTTAGGAGTTACAGTGCTTGAAGGGCCTATTTATGCAGTGGGAGGACATGATGGATGGAGTTATTTGAATACAGTTGAGAGGTGGGATCCTCAAAGTCAGCAGTGGACATTTGTGGCAAGTATGTCAATTGCCAGAAGCACTGTTGGAGTAGCAGCATTAAATGGCAAGTGAGTAGGGTATTCTTATATGTTTGAAACACATTTCTTAGAGGAATGAATAAATGTCACATGCAATGGTAAATAAGTTTTAGCATATTAGCATAATAGAGTGTGTCTTTTAAAATAAATGTAGGCACAGTTGGGCATACCCTCCTGTATCTCATGGCTTTTACATTTACTTGAAATAAGTAATTTATATATTTTCTATATTATTTTTGTTTAATATTTATATCAAATTCTTAATAATATTACCTGAAATTTCAGGGTGCGGGCTATAAACCACTTTGGGACAAATTGCCAGTTGACTCATCTGTTTTTATATATTGTATATGTCAGTTCTAGTTAACGAAGTTTATCGATCTAATATAGTCATGTACTCATTGATAAGATTTGTTGTATGTGCATTTTGTACCTTGCTTCAAACTAACTTTGAACCATGAAACCTTTGTCTGAAATCAACTATATTCACATAGAAGGAAACAGAAATTTGATTTTTGTCAAACCAGTCAGACTGCATTAAACCTGCAATTCTAATTGCGTTCAGATTTAAGTTTTTCTTTTATAACTTTCCCTTTTTAAAATTTTGCTAATTTTACAGAATGTGATATTATGTATTACTTGTTGCTTACCACTTTCAAAGTACTTACTCTTAGCTTTGTGGCTAAAAAGAATATGGTGTGAACTGTAATAATTTAGAGGTTGGGGAGGAATTCATCACACCTAACTTCAGATATTTTTTAAAAGAAATCTACAACTGAGCTAATCGTCCTAAACTCACCATATGGTCAGTGGAAGAAATATGTGCTTTTAAGATAGCATCTGTCTTACTTGTTTAGACATCTACGTTAAGACAGGATGAATTGTTATATCCAAGTGCCTATTTTTCTCTACTGTACAGGAAACCTGAGGACTCTGTCTCAGATTCTGACTTGTATGTTTTTGGTATCTTAAGCAGGGAAGACAAATCCCACTGTAGACAACTGAACATAAGTAAAGGGCAGTCAGTAAAGAGTCCCTTGGGAATACTGGGAGAAATGGAATAAGGCAAATTTCTGGAATAATATTTTCCTCATACTTCATTGCTACTGAGCAGCAAAGAAGAAAGAATGAGAAACAGCTGCATACGTGGGATGGAATGAGAGAGTAAATGTTGAAGACAGTAAAAAAATAGTTAATAAAATTTAGGATTAATAGTATGTAGAGGAAAAAAGGACTTATTAAGGCTATTGAGTTTCATGGTAGACTATCCTATTGCATAATTCATCAACCCACTAAATTTTGCCCACCTCATTTCTTCCAGTTGCAAATCATTCTCTTTTGATTATACAGTTGGATAGACTCTCAAAAATCCTTTATATTAGGTTGTGCTTATCACATCTAAGATACAGGCTTGAGGTAAGTAGGCTGAATTGATTTCTGGGATTGTTAGACTCTTTCCACTGACTGTAAGAGACTGAATATAAAAGCCAAACAAGGAGCCTAATTTAGCCCACAAACAACTACGTTACAAGACCTTTAGGAGATCGTGTAGTTTTCTGCAGCAGTAACAGTAGACCTGACAGAATACCCATAATCCCATAATTATGATAATATGTAGATATATATTTTTTAAATTGAACCTCAAATCAATTAAAACCTTAGACTTTAAAAGTGATAACTAATTTTATGAGTTTGTCATATTGCAGTTGTGCCTGATTTGCAGAGTATGTATTAAATAGGTTTTATTGGATGCATTCATTATTAATATTTCATTATTTAATAATGGTATCATATAGTCAGATGATCTACTTCTCATCCATGTCATTAGGAGTTAGTTTTATGTTGTGAAATCATCTGCAGACCACTGAAGCTTAATTGTCATTGCTTTCCCTTATTAAGTCACAGTGGCATTGAAATGACACTGTTCCAGAGCGCATCAAATTGACAAAGCTGCTTCAATGGCCCCGTTACTCTAAAAGAATCTGGTTTCAGTAGTGTATGAGCCATGCAGCAAGCTAACAGAGACAAGAGCTAGACAAATAACCCTGCAAATATAGATCTAAAATTATGAAGAGCTGCATATGATTATGTATATGTATTCTGGGTATGTTTCTTTTGCACAGCTGAGCATGTATTTAATGCCTCTCAGTTAATAAACATAGAACACCTTTAAATGAAAGAGATGTTATCTGTGTTTCAGAAAGGTGGAAAGGACACTATTGGAAACTGAAAAACAGTGGTCTCACTGAAGCAAACAGCAAATATACTACTGATGTAATTTTTTTTTTTTTAAATCTGAATAAGCATCTTTAAAAAACATCCCATATGCCAAGAACTGAAACTTGAAGACATGAAAGGACCAGAACTTCCAACTCTCTGGTGCTACTTTTACTACACTGCTGTTCCACACAATTGACATTCCTCAATGCTGCATTCCTCATCTGAGCTTTTTTGCTTTGAAATAGGCAAACTTTCATGAATTTCTTTTCTTTTTTTTTTTTTTTTTTAAAGAAATTCTAGGGATATTAGAAATGGATGTCTCAATGAGAAACAAGATGTTGGCTTTAACATTTAAGAGAAGAAAAACTATTTTTGTATGGAAGTTAGGAGGAGTTTTTTCCTGGATATTCCTCTGTTTCTTTTCTTCTGCACTGAATTAAATAAGTAAATAAATAAAATGCAGCAGGGTTAGACTATTTTGAAGTGAAAGAGTTAGAATCTACCCTGTGTTTATCTCCTGCAGTGCTTTGGGCACTTCACATGAAAAGGGATACTGTATTCTGCAGAACTCAAATGTGAGCTTCTTAAATACTTGAAAAAAAAACAGTCTCTTTTTTTTTGCTTAACACTGGAAACTATTCCACTGGTGATCTTCCATACCTCTATGGTCTGCTTCATTGGTTTTCCATTTAAAGCCATTTTAAGCAGAAAAAACCAATACATTTTAACACTAAATTCAATGAAAATTGTATTTTTTCTTTAAGCTTATGGTGGAAATAAATTTTTTAAAAATTAGATTCTGATCTCCTTAGGCTCGGAAATGTTGGATTTGTAAGTAACTTCTCATTAGTTCTTAATTTATTGAACCTTTTAGACTTACTTTTGTTTTGAAGCTCATTTGTATAGTCTGTGTAAGTCAATTATCAATTATTTTGCTGCTCAAACAAATGAAGAGCAATAGTATCTGAATCTGGAAAAACAGGCCACACCAAAATGAATGTTATTTCACTGAAATATATATTTAAACTGAAAATTTTATATTATATCAAAATATTTCCTAAAACCTGAAAAAGTTTATGTTAACATGTGCATCATAATCCAGTCTGAAAAAGACTTTTAATTGCTGAAGTTATAAAGTCAAGCTGAATTTTTCAGAAATTCAGAAAAATAAATATCTTAAGCATTTTTTTTCTTTTAAAACTTAGTCCAGTTGACAAAGTTCTTTTGCATAATCAAGTTGCATTATCACATTTTGAGGTCACAGTATTGTTTCACCCCTGAGAGATTAATGGAACATCTTCCTCTACGAGCATGAATGTCACCTGCATGTTACTCTCAGATGTCCTATAGTAAAAGGATATGGTAGTTGCTCTCCTTCAATTGGGAACACAAAGAATATTTATTTTCTTAAGTGCTTTCCGAAAACTAAGGAACTAATACTAACCAATACTAAAACTAACTAATAAAAGGGATTAGGTGGGTTTCTAAGTAAAAGAAATACACATAGTAGATTTATTCTACTAGAATTTTAGTAAAGCGGATTATTTGGTGTTACACAGAAAACAGTTAAGATGGAACAAAAGATGAATAGTACAGGGATTTTAAGAAGAAAAGAAGGCTGTACTGCACTGTATGAGTAAGAATACCTGTCATACCAAAGAAAAGGAACAGGAGTATTAGAGTTGGCAAAGGAACAGATGGACACAAATAAATAAAATTCAGATGGGAAAGTAGCAATAGAATAAAAATGATGGAGAGACAAGAAGAAGCTGTACAGAAAACTCTAATCAGGTTCTAAATGCATATTCATAGAAAGGGTAATATTATCTGTTCTCAGGCAACACCAAAGATAGGAATCTGAGAATTTTCCTTATCAGTAAATAACATGCCTTTGTCTTCCTAAATCAACAGTTGATATGGTATAGAAGTAACAATCTGTATTGAGGCTTTGGAGATTCCATCTCCTTCATCCTCATACTTTTCTTATAGTTAAACAGTAATGGAAGTGTGGAGGGTGTTAGCCCTAATATATCTCTTTAAAAAAAACCCACAACAATAAACCTTGATACCTTAATCAATTTTTAACGTATGTACATAGCCACTCTAGGACTTGCTATGGCTGTAGTGTTTCATGGGATGAAACATGGTCAAGCAGTTTCTCCCGATCTGAAAACAGCATCATCTTTTCTGTCTTGTCTTAACAACCCTGTTGCACAGACTGAAAAAGAAAGAGTGCATGAACTCTCCCACATAAGGAATAGATGTGTGTGTTAAAATATCATATGTAAAGTGGAGACTTACACTAACTTAGAATTAAAAAAAAAAAAAAAAAAGAAAAACAACCAGGAAAGGATAGAGGTCAGAAGTTGGGACGATATGTTTGAAATGTTCTTTGGGAGTTGACATAGGTAATATGTAACTAGTATGCAATATATACTAGTATTCTATAGTTTACAGGAAAAAATGCTGAAGCCATAGTATTCTTCTACCAAGTCTAAGTTAGAAGGACCCAGGAACCAAGAGTACCAAGAAAATCTTATCTTTTCCAGAAACTTTTAAAAATTGTCACTTTCTGTTTCAACATTATGTCTTCATTTCACCATTTTTAAAATCAAGAAGGAAAAAAAACCCCAAAATCTAGTTGACAATTTCAGTCCTATAAATACTGATCTTGTCAGTAACATAAAATGTAGTTTCCTCAAAGATTACAGTCATTATTAGCTTTCTATTAACAAGTCTCAAATATATGAAGTATGCATTCACTAAGATCACTGAACCTTTGCACTAATTTGTTTCATGTAATTTAATTT